ACCTCACTCACCTTTCACCTCAAATGAAATCAAATTGATAATAACATTTAATCATCTATAAATGAATCTAAATATTGTGTCTGAATAATATTATTATATTGGATGGATTTAATGCAATAAACTGATTTTGTGCGCATTATAGCATAAAACTATGCAAACTAACTTTTGCAATGGCTCGAGTCGGAGTTCATTCAGAATTTAGAGTCTAAACTATGCAGTTATATTGGAAAGCATGGTTAGGATGCTGCATTGAGTTTATACAGTATCTAATTCTCTGAGTGATTCAGTTGACCTGAAAACCAGTAGCAGATGATTATATAAAATGCTTCCACAAAACAATCTGCATGCTTTAATTAAAGACATTGTCAGTGATTGTGCATTCAGGTTGTGCATCGCTACAGTTCAGGAGAAGATTGATCAAAACAATAGCAGCTTAGATTACACCCACACTATTAATCACACACAAACACACCGATAATAACCGGATCACAGTCACCGCAGAAACCAAGGCAGCCGGCGAATGGCGCAGCGGGAAACTTTCACAGAGAAACGCTGGAGAGCTGAATGTTTCAATCATACGGCAGCGAGGGCAGAAATCCAATCAGGGATTGAGTGACATGCAGAGCTCAGTCGCCTCTGGTGGACTTGCAGAGAGCAAATAGAGTGAGACCGGCTATTTCTCAGCTCAAATCACTAGCTGGAGGAACATCGGCACACACACTACAAGACCTGAGTGTGTGTGTGAGAGAGAGAGAGAGAGAGAAAACAAACCTGAAGAGGAAAACGAGTTTGTGATATGAGGGGAAGATGAGAGTGCAAAAGTGCGAGAGACAAAATAACATTGTGTGAAGTGAGAGGAGGATGAGAGGAAATGCCACTATTTTCCATTAAATATAAAGTGCTAAAAACAGACTAATAGTTGAGCTGCTGTCTGAACAGATAAAGTGTTCAGAGAATGCACCTTTAAAGCTTAAACACCTTAAATGTTTATGCTCTTATAGGCAGAATGAACTCAAATGACCAACTAGACTGTTTTACAGAGTGATCATGAAAAAAGTTAATAAGCAATAAGCCATGGTAAAAGAGTGTGGCTAACAACAGCATGAATCCTGTGCCACTTAGTGCTCTTATAAAATTGTGGCAACTGCACTGATTAAATACACCAATGTTCAAGAAATATTTACATTTGATATTATTGTTAATAATAATAATAATTAACACATTCTATATAGTAGCCAATGGGCATGGCATTCACCAAATTATTTAGATTTATTTATTTTTTACAAAATACCACACACAGACAAATTAATCAAATAAATTAACTAATTATATAATTAATTAATAATGAACTTTAATGAAATCTAAATAAATACACTGTAAATAACTAATTAATATAAATTAAACTGAAATAAATAAATAAATAATATATTTTGAATACAATTGAAATTAATAAATACTTAACTTGAATTCATTAAACTTACGAACTCAAATGACCAACTAGACTGTTTTACAGAGTGATCATGAAAAAAGTTAATAAGCAATAAGCCATGGTAAAAGAGTGTAGCTAACAACAGCATGAATCCTGTGCCACTTAGTGCTCTTATAAAATTGTGGCAACTGCACTGATTAAATACACCAATGTTCAAGAAATATTTACATTTGATATTATTGTTAATAATAATAATAATTAACACATTCTATATAGTAGCCAATGGGCATGGCATTCACCAAATTATTTAGATTTATTTATTTTTTACAAAATACCACACACAGACAAATTAATCAAATAAATTAACTAATTATATAATTAATTAATAATGAACTTTAATGAAATCTAAATAAATACACTGTAAATAACTAATTAATATAAATTAAACTGAAATAAATAAATAAATAATATATTTTGAATACAATTGAAATTAATAAATACTTAACTTGAATTCATTAAACTTAATACATTATAATTAAATTGTACTAAATAAAATATGAATTTGAAATAAACATACAAATAAATTCTGAATTTGAGTCAAATTGAAATAAATTAACAAATGAATACAGACATACAGTAATTTTAATAAAAATTAAATAAAAAAACTAATTATGAATTAGAATTCAATTGTAATAAATAAGTAAACAAATAAATAATCAATGAATGGGAATACAATTAAAACACATAAATAAATTATTAATTATTATTTAATTTAAATAATAACTTGCATATAATATGAAGTGATAATAAAGACTTATATTGTTAGACAAGATTTCTATTTTAAATAATTTCTGTTTTTTTTTTTACTTTTTATTCATCAAAGAATCCTGAAAAAAAGTATCGCAGGATCAAAAAAAATATTAAGCAGCAAAACTGTTTCCAATATTGATAATAAATCAGCATATTATACTGATTTCTGAAGATCATGTGACACTGAAGACTGGA